TAGAATTGTCCTTTTTTTTTTGGTGAATTGTGATGATATAGGAAAATTTTGCGACCTAGGATAATCCTTCTGTCTAGTTCGGTGGTTTTTGTCTGTCCTTAATCGTGTGAACGATCTAAAGTTCGATCACCGATTGACTTTGACTTAAATTTCTGTTAATGAATCTGTATAGCTAGGTTCGTTTGTCAGAATTTTACTAATCTTATCCCAGAAATTTGCCACGTTGCACAAATCCGCGTCGAGTTGAACAAAGGCTTGAAACCATTTCAGTTGAACATATCATTTATTCTTGCTTTTCAAAGTGTGTGTGTGAATGAATTCCATGCCTTTGCATGACTATTTCTCTTGTTGTTTGCAATTAAAATGTATAAATGGCACTTTACTTATTTTCGAATATGGTATGTAATGCAGACTGCAGAGAGTAGCAGTGACATCCCAGGATCATTATGAGTTGTGGCTGCTTTGGAGCCTCAACTCTCAAGAAGAAAAGGAATCATTCTCATACTCCTAATGAGATTGATGGTGAGGACCTGGTGATTTCTTATTTCAATATGTTGTAGCATTTAATAATACTGGACTTGTGTATAAATATCCTGTCCCTTTTATTGGCTTTACCAATAAGCCTGCACTTTATCAAAGGTAGGTCTGACAAGAGCAACAGAAAGTCTTCATTAAGTTGTAGGCTTCAAAAGATAAATGTGTCCATTTAGTTTGTACATCGATGAAACATAATCTTAGAAAGACATACTTTGGGGTTATTTGCTGGTTAGGTTTTGTTATATGGTACAACGACGATGTTCATAAGAGTTCTGGTGTATAATTAGTAATACTTATATAACTACAATTTTGTTTTTGCCATTTATCACCATGTTGAATGCCATATATAAATCTTTTATGCCTCTATTGTCTTGTTGCTCAGGTTTTCAACTTGATAATGTTACACATTTCTCTGATAAAGACCTGAGACTGGCTACTGATAACTATCACCCCAGCAAAAAGATAGGACGAGGAGGTTTTGGAACTGTTTACCAGGTATTAAGATCATAGGCTCGCATATAAGCTGTAACACTATGGAATTAATATGCTTGTTGATCAGTTTAAGTTACAAAAATGATTCTTCAGCGGTGCTTGTGCTAGAGGGATATTTGTAATTTTCTTCGTTAGTGATGCACTGCTGCAAGTACCAATCTTTGACTTGATAGGTATCTATATTATGCAACGGAAGACGTTACTACATTGTTTTTTGGGGCAGTAAAAACACCATGACGTTCAAAATCCCATTTCCATAGTCTAGGTATTCAACCTTAAGAACCCCTATTATTATTATTATTATATATAAACAAGAGAAGTCATGTGACTTTATGTTCAAGAAACATGATCCAATGGCAATGGTTTGTTCCTCTGACTAGACATGCTCCACTTATATGCACTTGCGTGTGCACTGCATTATAATGCTTATAAATTGGTAGACTATTTTGTTTATAAAATTAAAACGATAAACTTGGCATAAATTTGATTTTGTCTTCATATGAACCCACTGTAAAAGGGTGCTATGTCCAGCTTTGCGAGTTAAAATATTTTTTTACCTGTACCCTTTATACACATTATAGAATTGTGCTTTCGTACTATGCCCTACTACTTAAAAAATTTGAACACTTGTTTTTCCCTGAGACATAGTGAAAGAGCCTTAAAATGCAAATCCTTCCATCCTTTAATCATTTTGCTAAAATCTTAAAACTCAAGGATGTCTATAGAATTGGGTAAAAGGAGATTTGCCCTTTTTAGCTTACTGATTACCTCCCCAAAGGCCTAAAAGATGAGGGCACTTTAGCTTACTTAAGCTGAGTAACACCCTATGGTACCAAGAAATAACATCACACTTTCATCATTTTATGCTTTTCTTTGAAATTTAGTAATTAAGTCACTACTAAATAGCTATGTTGAAATTTTCCAGGGAACCTTAAAAGATGGAAGACAAGTAGCAGTGAAGACACTTTCAGCTGGATCAAAGCAAGGAGTTCGTGAATTTTTAACTGAAATTAAAACTATATCAAATGTTAAGCATCCGAACCTTGTTGAATTGGTTGGTTGCTGTGTTCAAGAAACTAATCGTATACTAGTGTACGAATATGTGGAAAACAACAGCCTTGATGGTGCATTACTTGGTAAATTTGACAAATACTTTGGTGTAAATTATGAAATCACAAATTAAGATCCATATGTAGATGATAGGATGAAACATAACCTCTCTTTTGTTTTTCTTTCCACATTTTTTGTAGGCTCAAGGAGTTCAAATATCATATTAGACTGGAGAAAAAGATCTGGCATTTGCATGGGTACTGCTAGAGGTCTTGCATTTCTTCATGAAGAACTTGTGCCACACATTGTGCACAGAGACATCAAGGCAAGCAATGTACTACTTGATCGAGACTTCAATCCGAAAATAGGAGATTTCGGGTTGGCTAAATTATTTCCAGATGATATCACTCACATTAGCACAAGGATTGCTGGAACAACGTATGTTATATTTCAGATTCATAGTTATTTTTCCATCGCATTGGAAGATTTCTACTAGTTTTTCTTCCTCTTTGGTTAGCTACTTTTTAGTTTTCTGGAGATAATATTAGAGAGAGAAGAAACTCTTCATCATCTAGGTATGACAGCAGAACTAGAAATATTATAATTGACAAAATTTCAGGGTCAATTAGGAGATGTGAAATAATGTTTCCTGAGCATACTAGTTACAAGGTTTTGTAATAGAATGTTCCTAATTCAGTTGCACATGCCTCCAACAATATTCAAGGGACACATGTTCTGTAAAGCTAGACTGCTTGTTGATATTCACACACACTCAAGGGCAATTTATTATGGTTCTGGGATACCTATTTTGTATTCTTGACATCAGCCATGCAACCAAAAGTGGAATATTTATCTCAAAATTATGTCTATGGAGAAAATGTATTTGTTTGACCTAAACATCATAAGATCTTTTGGCAGCAAACTCTGGTAGCACATTCAATTTCCTCACAGTTGTGTTGGAAATGTAGATCAAAAACATTTCTGGGCCTGCTAACAGCTGAAGCATTATGGCTCACTGATCCCTCAACACTTGCTGTAAAAAACATTCAATTTTTATTTTTAACTTTAAATGTTCTTCAATTTTGACAAAGGAGAACTTAGTTGTTGGCGGGTTTTGTATTTTTTTTTCTTCTTATTTATTCATCTATCTATAGTTTATGCATTTACAAAATTGTTCTATCCATACATGGAGAGTGGAACTCACAAATGTTCTGACCTGCTTTGGTTTGAAAATGCAGTGGTTACTTAGCACCAGAATATGCAATGGGTGGCCAGTTAACCATGAAGGCTGATGTATACAGTTTTGGGGTTCTTATACTTGAAATAATTAGTGGCAAAAGCAGTGCAAGGACAAACTGGGGAGGGTCCAACAAATTTCTGTTGGAATGGGTATGTAGCTTTCAGCTCTTCATATATATGCAACTTATGTGTTTGTTCTTCTCAATGTGGGACTTGGACTAGACATAATGATCTTTGTTTTCGCAATAACAGGCCTGGCAACTGTATGAAGAGGGGAGATTGTTGGAGCTTGTGGATCCAAACTTGGCTGAATTTCCTGAGGAAGAGGTAATTAGGTACATGAAGGTTGCTTTTTTCTGCACACAAGCAGCAGCAAGTAGAAGGCCAATGATGTCACAGGTTGTTGACATGCTGTCAAAGAACACGAGACTGAATGAAAAGCAACTAACAGCACCAGGACTCTTCCAGGATTCAGGAGCATCTTCTCTGAAGAAGTCATCATTTGAGTCCACAAGTTATCAATTTAGTTCTAACCCTGCCAGTTTTACTCAGTTGGCCCCAAGGTGAAGCATAAACCAAACTTTTTAAGTGTGAATTGCTAAGTTAAAAATTAGAAGAAAAGAAAAATAGAGAGAGAGAGAGAGAGAGAGAGAGAGAGAGAGAGAGAGAGAGAGAGAGAGAGAGAGAGAGAAAGGGAGAAAACAAAAAGGGATTATCTTTGTTTTCTTTTACATTTTTCTTCTTTTCTGTACATTATTTTTTTATGAATTATTATAAGGTGCACTTTGTTGGAGATTCAACGTCAACTAGTGAAATGACTATATTGGTGTATGTAAGTGGACAGCAATCCTTATCTTACAAAATAAATTTTGTAAGGTTGAATTAGACTTATTATTCATTTTCTAATATGGTATTAGAGTCTATCCTAATGATTATTGTTTATTGTTGGGTTACACCTGAGATGAGATGGTCAAAATAGTGTATATAAATGAAAAACAATCATTACTTTAAAAAGTCAGTTTTATAAGATTGAATTATGTTTATAATTCACTTTTTAATACTATTGTGTAAGGTTTTTTCTTTTTTTAAAAGTGGTTTTATGATATTACTTTTTTATTTTTGGTGATAAGTCTTACTAACTTGTGATAAAGTCCATGTTTTGGATAATGGGTGATTCTAAAAAAAAAATGATTTTTTGTTTTAAAAGCCATCTTAAAGATTTTTTTTTCAAAATAAGTTATGTCTTTGTACAATTTAGTCATCGAAAGTTTGAAGTTATTTGTTTGTTAGTTCCTTCATTAACGTCTATTACATTAGTGAGACAGTGTGGCTTATATGACATGTTAAATGCATACGTGTATTGTTGCATGACAATGTATAATAATTTGGATTTAAAATGATGTATTTACTCTCTTCATTTGTTGTTTGATTTACGGTGAAAAAGTTCTAATTGGTCCAATTATTTTTTGTTTGATTTCTTGTAAAAAAAGTCCAATTGGTCCAATGATCTGTTACATGTATAGATGGAGCGCAGTAGAAAAATGACAGTCATGTCTCAAAACAACTTGCGAGTGTAAATAGATTTTAGAGCCATTCAGAAATATGGGGTGCCAAATTAATTTTTTTAATTAAAAAATAATAAAATTTATCATTTTTTTATTCAATTTTTTAGTTTTATTATAATTAATAATATGATAATTTAGAAAAATTTGGAGAAGCTGTGACTCACCTAACATAATTACATAACCAAGGTCCGTCACTGGAGCCATTAGACATCTCGAGTTCAATGAGAAAACACAATTTCGTGATAAGCACTTGAAAGTAGGTATGATTTTTAAAAGCTTGGAAATTTTAAGCTAACTATTAGGAATTTCAATATTACCTCAGGTAGAGAGGTGACAAATCACTCAATATATGTAAATTATAACAATTCATTGTTTTATAAACACTTTACTCTTCATCCTTTCCTTTACATTCACACTAATTTAAATATTTTCCTCTCAAGGTGACTTTATGTGTAAGTTTTTTTATTTATTTATATATTTTTCATATCAAGCTTTTTCATAAGTTAATTTGTAAAAATTTTCTTCTATTAAATTCTTCAAAATCTAATTTTAACTTGATCAGTTTTATTTTATGGAGAAACTTATTTTTAATTTTTCTTCATATCTTTCTTCTTCTCACAAAAGTTTATTTAAACATGTACCAAATGAACAATTTATTATTCAGTAAATAACAATTGAATATCAAAATTAAATATGTATTTTATCTTAAAAATTTAAATATTTCTATTATGCTTCATTTTTATATATACTTAAATATTTTTTTTCATATCAAGATTTTTTAGAGTAAAATCTCTTGCTAATATTTGCATTTGGCTCTTCACACTTTTCCTCCAAATTACTTTGCACACCTGACTCTAATATATCTCTATCATAATTGGAAGTCATCACACTGTCATCATCCTCTACAATCCCCTCATCTTCTATAACTACCTCATCAACAATTTGAGCAGAAATTTCGGTTGTAATATCATTTGGATACTATCTTTCACTGGTTCTTCCTCATTTTTTTAACCATCCCTTATGATAATATTATCATTAACCTCATTATCTTCGATAGTCAATTTATGTCATATGTGATGAACGCATAATATATGCTTCATGTTTATGCATAATATCCATTGCCTCCCTAATAATTTTCATTGTTCCTTTGTCATTCTATACTCTAACAAGTCCTTCCTCCAACCTAATTTGGATTACATGGTAGAAAATTTGAACACATCATTTATAACTCATTTTGTTTAGTAAACTAGTTATCTCCTGCATTGACTACTCATCTAAATTACATTCATTTCTAGTAAATATTTTTTCCCAGTGTATTTTAATCAATTACCTTGTGATTGGGTCGACATCTTTAGTAAATGACCTCCATGAAATACATAAATAGTAAAATTGTACAAATACATCCGTAGTTCCACATGAAACTAACTTAGTAAAAAATCAACACCTTATTGCTATTGTGAATTAAAAAAAAATGATGGATAAATAGGATTAAAATTGTCTATCTTCATTAACGTATATCGCAATAACAAGCCTCCATGAGATGTCAACAACAACTTGCTTCCTCAAGACAACGATAACAACACTATTTCACGCATACAAACCTTAACTCATTGTAAGAAAGACGATAATAAGGTTTTTCTCTGCTTACTTCACAAACATGCCTTTGACAAATTGAGAAAGAGAAGAAATCTTATTATCAAAGACTCCATTTTTTTCCCTCTTAAATCATTAACTGACTCATTATCATTCACAAAATCAAATATATCATTACTACATGAATTTAATAAGTTTATGTCACTCACACTTAACGATGCAAGAAACAAATTAATAACAGGGACTAAAGAGGATTAAAAAATTGAAGTATAGAGATTAAAAAGATCTATTTTAAACTATAAGGGTTAAAAGGTAAAGTAAGTCCAAAGATCTATTTGTGTGCGTGCGTGCGAATATTTATGAATGAGAATAATTATCTAGCTTATTAGAGATCCACCCTCCCAACAATTTTTCTCTTTCATTCTCCTTTAGTTCACTCTTATCCTTAATTTTTTGTCTCCTCCAACATAACACTTTTTAATTTATTATTATTATTATATATATATATATATATATATTTTTTTTTTCCTTGATAACTTTGAATGTCTCTCGATCTTTTTCCTCTTCAAACTTTTCCTAAACTTAGGAATGACAAAACAAGTTGGTCTGATGAACGAGTTTGTTAACTCACAAAAAAAAATGACAAGCGGAACTATATAGTCTAGCTTGCCAACCCAATAGGCTAATTTATCATTGTCAGGCCATTTTTTATTAAAAAGAATTAAAATAAAATTATATTAAGAATTTTAGTTTACAATTTTTACTTGTAATTTTTTAAGATTTTAATGTTCTTAAAAATTAAATATGTTTATTTTAATATTGTTAGTTTATTTTATAAATTTAATTTCTCTTATTCTTATAAAAATTAATACTCAAATGAAATTTAATTTTATAAAATAAATACTTTTTCCTTTTTTTCTTACTTTTTTTTTAATAAAAAAAAGATGTACCAAATATCCAACCCATTTTCAATTGATAGATAAGCCCTGCCCAACCTGTCTTTGCCAAACTCATTTTACCATCCTACCTAAAACCCTTATCATTTATCACAAATTGATAAGGCTTTTATCAATTATTTATTATAAAATAAAATTTATTTTACGGGTGAACGAAACACTAACCATCTCATAATAATGTACACAACCAAACCTTATTAATAGAGAGTTCAACGAGAGGCCAATCTAATCTAAGCCATCCCCTGTAATCTGCATCATCTGCGTTTTGACAGAGCGGTGAACATCATTCCAAAACCTCCACATTCCCCACCTATTATTATGCTCCCACATTCCTCTTAAAAAATGCTGATTTACAATATTTATATCAAACTTATTTTACGGGGTTACGCATAACCTTTAAGACAATAAAAATACACATGGAGAGATAGGGCATTAAAAATACACCAAGGCCAGTTGCACCACTTGGAAAAGGAAATGTGATAATCATAGAAATAAAATAAAAATACTCTTATTTTCAAATGATGTATTAAAAAAAAACCCATGAACATTTGAATTTCCAAGGTCATATAAAAGTCAATAAAGGATATAATTGGTACAAAACCTCAACGTTGGAAATCAAAATGCAAACCAAAAACCCATAAAAACTAATAGCATGACAAAAGAATCCGTAAAGAGCTGTGGAGGGAAAGACTGCAAGAGCTGGAGTATGAAAAGAAGAATTATGTAGATGATTGCTCCTCAGGGGGTGAAGCTTCGTTCAGGGGTAAATCTGCAGTACCGTTATTAGTGGTGGCATCCTTTGGTTGTGATCCAGGTGCAGCTTCTGGTGCAGATCCATTTGCTTTTGGTGCAGTTTCTTTTCCATCCTTCCCATCTTTGGAATCTTTAGCAGGTGCAGGAGGAGGGGCAATCATGTGAGGTGGGGGTGTGTGTTTCAGCTTCAACAGTATCTGTCTCAGCCTAGAAAGATCTGTGGGTTTGCCAGGCTTTGGGCCTTGGACGACCGTGATTGATGGCTTCTTTTCCTGATCCTTTTTGCCTCTTTTCTTCTCAATATTGGGAACCTCACGAGGAATAATCTCACCAATAGCTTTCCAGTAATTTTTGTCAGCCTCTTTGTGGAAGTTCTCTTGATTAGCCAAGTATAACTGCCCCCACAAACAAGGTTTATTTATGAAATTAAAAGAACAGAAAAATATTTATTTGATAAAAATATAGATGTGTTGCGTGACCTTACCTTTTCCCTTTCTCTGTTTTGAACCTTGTTAGTCTCAACATTAAGCTTTCTTTTCTCATAGAAAGCCACCTTATACTCCTCAGCTTCCTCAATAATCTTCAATCTCATTTCTTTTTCCCTTTTCTCCTTCTCCTCAAGCAGAATAGCATTTTGACTGCATAATGAATTCATTTTGTTGACAACTGAATTCAGCAAACATGCAATAGATTTTAAATCTTAAATTTTGCAAGACAAACACTTGTGCTACCATCAGGTTCAAGAATAATTTTGCCTCATATAACCAAACAAACGGGATTTGTATTAATGGTCAAGTTAACATTTATTTTATTTTATAGTATAAACTTCATTCTCTTTTATGCACCATCTATATTTATATATTTTTCTAAGATGAACCGTTTTTTATAAGATGCAAAATAGAACACATTTGATTGATGCCCATATTTTTAAAGAAATATAGCACCACCAATAGATATCTGGTTCTCTGGTTTAATTAATGACCAACTTCAAGTTCCGTTAGTCATGACATGATATGATAGTAAACAGAAAAGGAAATAGGTTTGGCATCATTATGGAGTTATGAATGCAAGAACTTTGAAAAGACAACCAGTTATGAAATATATATTTTTTTCCACATAAGATAGGGATTTTTTAAAAAAAAAAAAAAAAGATAAGGCCCTCTCCCCAATTGTTTCCCGTTAAGTCATGCACTGTGTAACAAACGTAAATTTTTTATATTAAATTAGAGTCACAATTTTTCCATTAACTACTTGATATTAAAAGGAAAGCTTTGAATTCTACAGTTTATGAATCAATACATCATCAATTTATCTTTTTTCAGCCTACCGCATGTGCTCAGTGCATAATGTAAAGAGAGAATTCTAATATTAGAAATGCAGAGTAACGACCGCAATTATAGAGAGAAAGGAAAAGCGTCAATGTAAAACTACACAAGGATCGAAAATCACACATGGTGTATGCGCACATATTTACATACCAGGTTGGCTGTCCAACTATATATGACTCCCTGAACTGGTGGCATGTACTTAGAAATGGGCAGATGCCTGAGGAGGATTTGACGCAATCCTCCCCAAGTTTTATCATCATCAGGTCATTTGTAAATTGCTACCCTGGGGAAGTGATGATCATGGAAAATGGAACGCTCAATATGGTAAACTAGAATATTTTGTCTTTTTTTGTTTTGTCTAAACCGTTGGTATCCTCAGCTAGAGGCAATCCTGTTCGAACCAGGTAGGATCGCCATGAACAAAAAAACTCTCAACGAAGATAATCCTTCCACCATTTTAGTCCAAGAAAATGAGCACACAATGCAGATTAACCAAACAGTAGAATCAGCTCTGACCTGAGTCCAAGCTGTCATCCAACAACTAATCTTTAGATGACATAAATTTTACTCCCCAAAACACCTAACCACTCAGATCCAACTCCCACACTACCAGTAAGCAAGGGACTAACAGATAAGAACCGGTGAATGCAAATCAATTCCTCCCACCAAAGTACACAAAGTGGAATTATACAAATCAACCTCCCATTTTTTTTTCTTTCTTTTTAATATAACAGCTCAGGTAAGTGAAGTAACAGTTGCAAGTGAAATTGGACCAAACAAAGTTCACCGATTCGCTTCTTCCTATCCCTAATCCTAATCGTTTAGATCTAAGCAAATTCAAACGAGATCTGACAAATTCACGCAACAAACTAAAAGTAAAAGCTCAGAGAGAGAGAGTTACCGGCGCCACTCACGGAGAGCGTAACCTTCATCCGGCTCCATCTCTCCCGGCGGCGGAAGCACCGGGCCGTCGGAGACAAAAACGCCGTTGCCGTAGCCGTTATCGGTGCCATTCTCGTTGCCATTCTCGACTCCGTGCACAGGCTCGAAGGGAGACTGGGAGTAACCTGGATCGGGATCGGTGAAGCCGAAGATCTCCGGCGACGGCGGCGCGGCGTGATCGACGGGGATGTCGTCGGCGGAGAAGGTGGAGTAGTCGGCGTAGCCGGAGAAGGTGTCGGAGGCGGCGAAGTGGTCGTCGTCGACGGTGAAGGCGTCGAAGGAGGAAGACATGTCTCCAGAAATGGGTTCTCTCTTTTTCTCTCTTCTGCGAAACGCTTTCAACGAAACACTGAGAAACAAGTTGGAAACAGTTTGTATGTTACTTGACTTTATAAATACTTAACGGTGAAAACAAAAATTTAAAAAAAAAAAAAAAAAAGGAAAATTCAAATGGGATTTGTATTGTATTTGTTACGAAAAATAATTTAATTTAATTACTGTCGGTGTAAAAGACAAAAATTTACTGTGGTTAGTTATGAATTACTATTTATAGTAAATTTATTTAATTTTATAGTAAAAATAAATAATGCATATTCATATGGAATTAAAACTCGTACACAGTAAAGCCTGGAAGAGACACGCCAACAGTATTTAATTTGAACATAAATTAAAAATAATGGCAATATTCTTTTAGTTTAAATATATTTTTATTCTATATGTATTTTACCTTTTATTTTTATCTTTTTAAAATTTTAAATCATTAATTTTAATATTTTTTTAAAATAAATATACTTTATTGTTGTTCTTATAAACACGGTATTTGATTGTCTATTTCTCTAAAACTTAAAATTACTTTTTTTTAACTAATTTTAAACAGGATAAATAATATATGTACCAAAAAAAACAAGATAAACAATATTTATTTTAAGAATCTATAATTTTTTAAAATATGTAACTTGTTAACATGATATTATGGACACTAATAAATATCACTTGAAATAATCACTTAATTTTAAGTTAAATACATAAAGAATTAAAGAGTATAACATAATAATATCAACACTAATTTCAATTTCATATATCAAAAGATGAAAATTAAAGAATTTTTTTTATATAAAACTGAAGTTCATTTTATATGGAATAAAAAATCTTTAAAACTTTTTTTTTGTGTGTAATCACTGTAGTTAAGATCATTGGCTATCCACAGGACACCTGAAATATTCCTCCAAGTTTGGGTATTTGAAGCAACTATAATATAAACCCTTAATCTCAAATTTAGTTACACTAATTAAAACTGTCTCTTCGGATGTATTTTGTAGTAATCAAACTGAAATCCTTCGCTCAATGTGCGTTAAGTCAGACTCATTGGATGAATGGGTAGTGATGACAATTTAGTATAATAATCAACCATGGCAGCACAAATAAAATATTATTTTCAACAACTATATAATATTTTTAATTAATAAATTGAATATATAAAAATGAAATGCACCTCTTTCGGAACTATCTCGGTTGATGGATGTTTAATAATTAACAATGGAGTAAAAAAAAAACAGAAAAAAAGACAACAGACGACTTAATTTGGTTTTGGAGAGCAATTGACCAATTGACCTTGGTGAATTATTATTTTTTTTAAATATTGATATGAATAAAGTCATTAAAGTTTTTTTTTTTTTAGTTCATACTTTTTAAAAGTTTAAATTTGAGTTCTTATAATTTGCTCTTATTAAGAAATTAGTTTCTAATGTAAAGACCAAAAAATCAAAATATACACATGAAAATAACGATCAGCTCCTACGCAAAAAGAAATTAGAAATTATAAGGATTAAAATCAAAATGAATAAGAATGATAGAAACAAAAGTATTTTTAAAACTTAAATATATTTTTAATCTTTATAAAATTGATAATTTGATTTAGATTCCTCTAAAAAAATTTCTTTATTTTTTATTCTTTTAAAACTTATAAACATTATTTTTGGTCCTTGTAAAATAAGTAAATTTAATTTTAATCCATGTAAAAAAAAATTCTTTGATTTACATTCCTCTAAAATCTAAAATAACTATTTTTAATCTTTAATGATCATTTTAAGGTGGATAAATAATATTTATTTTAAAAACTTATAATTTTTTTAGAGGTGTTAAATATCTATATAATATCAATAATACTTATAAATAGCACTTAAAATGATTACTTAACTTTTTAATAAATAAAAATAGTTAAAAATGATTACATAAAAATAAAGACTAAAAATAACAGTTTTAATTTTATATGGATAAAAAATATTAATTTACTAATTTTATAGAAACTAAAAACATATTTAAACCTATTTTTAAACACATGTAATAAATTAATAAATAAATTTTGAACAAGATTTATTATTCGCCAAATCTTGTATATATACTATTATTTCAAGCCTATATTATAAATAATTAAAGAAATTCACTGGCACCAAACAATTTATTTTCAAGTACCTTGCTAGTGGATCAAAATCTACAGAAAAACTTTTAAAAATTGATTATGCTTTTCTTCTATCAAGAAATATTTATATCAAATTTTGGATGCATGAGATTATCAATAAACTACAATCATTGATTACCAACTTCAACTTAAACCTACATACTTCATAATTTTTAAAGAGTAAATATAGAATATGTTACTTTCAAAAACACTTTTAAACTTATATTCAAGTAGACACAGACTCATATACCATTATATTAGAATATAAAGTGATTTACATATATGAAGGTACATTAGCTTCAAATCAGTAGTTGATTCTGGCGTTAGTCAGACACATGTCCTCAAATTATAGTTCAAATTTCTTGAATGAGAGAGTAAGAGATCAACAAAGACAAACAAGAAAGGGAGGGTGGCTATGTAAAAAATAATGCAATCCGTTTGGCTATTAGAAGAAACAAATTGTTCCTTCCTTCCTTTGAGGAATATAACAGCTTGGTGAGGTGAGTGATACTGCACAAAAAATTTATAATCAACAGTAAAATTCACCAACGACCAAGTTTGGAGTTTCACAGCTTTGGCAAGAGGAGGCTTTAAATTCGATGGCTTGTGTTTATGGAAACGCCCCAGTTCTGCTTTGTCAACACAATAGCAAGTAATGAGTGCCATGAAAATGACATTGTCTTTAAAGTGAATTAAACAAAATAAGTTATAAAATATTTAATTTTTAAAAAATTGTGGATAAATGAGAGAGTATTTTGAAATAATAATAAAATAATGTTTAGTTTTAAAAATAATTGTAGCCACTAGGTGCTCCATTGCTGGTATATTGAAAAGGAAAAGGCAATAGTAAAATAGGAACACAGCTTACCAAACTTGAAACGTACAATAAAGTCACTTCAATTAGAATTGAGTCTCAAGATGCCTTCAACTTTCTGCTGAATGCTCTCTTTTGACACTTGTGCAAATATAAAACATTTCGGCTGATAGCATTTGTTCACTCTTAACTCCTAAGAAATGTATATCAGTATCAGCCTCAGAAAAATACTTGCACAAATAATGAGTAAAAACACATAGGTTGGTGCAAGAAATCAGATAGAAAAAATAGCATCTCACAACACCTAACCAAACATCAAAGTGTGACTTCTCCAGAAACATTAATAGGTCGTTCTAACACAGTACTTGAAAGAGCTATAATGGAAATATCACTCTGCCCTCTTAGTCTTCTCTCTTTAATGACAAACGAAGGCATACTTCACCCTCAAAGTAACAGAAGACTAAAGCATGCTTACTAGACCAAATAAAGAAATAACTCAAAATATTATTTAAGAGAAACCAGTGTCACTATAGGATAATAGCTCCAAGAGAAGGTGCACAATCCTCAAGATGTCCCAGTGCATACAATATGACAATCAAATAATTGGATAAAAATTAAATACCTGAAAATCCGTGCACAGCAGAAATGTGTTCTTTTCTCCAAAATCTCATCAACAGTTAGTCTATATAGCCCGATGATGACTGTCTAAGAATGCCAGAACTATCTTGGATTGAATTTGTCACTCCGGTGATGTCAATAACTTGATCATATTGACAATGCAACTTCAATATATTCTTGTCATCTGGGTAGCAGTTGACACTGCCATAACACCAAAAATTCATTGTTGATCCACCTCACCCTAGATTTTTTTCATGTTCCAATCCTTGAATGATCATAATGGATCAACAATAAGTGCTTCATCCATAAATAACAACTCCAATCATATAAAGTTTAGCATCATAAGACAGTAATTGTTATGTTTTGATGCAAATAAAGTTATGGGTTGTCATTGGTTCAAGCTATTTCTTATTGCTTAGAACACCATCACCTTCAATGCCAAATAAAAAAGACAGGAGCAGTCCCCAATATTCCTCATCCCACTTGGACCTTGTAAGACATTAAGACCCACTTTATATAGGATTTGTAATAGCTTGAGTTTCACATCATCTTATCTTCCATTAGACCATTTGTCACAAGTTCTTCTTCTGGGTAAATACCTTCAACAACCTTTTGGCTTCAGCCTTTTTTCCTGGTATAGAAAAATTTGAACTGATATACATGAGAGTGGTCTCAGATGGCACATGTCCTTTTTCACACATTTCTCTCAGCAATTTTTTTGCCTCATTCTGATATGACAGTTTAAGAGCCCTGTCCATCTCTGGCTGATAGGATAATTTGCACCATCCACAGATTAGAATGTCATAGGTTGAAGAATTAGGAATTCTTCCTCTTGTCAGCATCTCGTTCAAAAGTTCTCTAGCTTGGCGCATCTTTCCTGCTTTTGCATAATCACTAATAAGCACATTATAGGTTCCTGTTGTGGGAACAAAACCTTTGGTTACCATTTCACAATAAAGTTTTATAGAATCCCGTTTATTTCCAACCCTACCATGGCCAGAAACCAATATGTTATAAGTAGTGGCATTTGAGACAAGTCCTCTTTCCTTCATCTCGCTTACTAATTTATCTGCATCACTCATCAAACCAGCAGCTGAAAGACCCCCTAAAAGTGTATTGTATGTAGTAATATTTGGAGAGATTCCATCCACCAACATCTGTGAATAAATATTAAATGCTTTCTCCACATGACTACCTGTGCAGTAACCACAAATAAGGGCATTGTAAGTAACAATGTCAGCTGAAAATCCTCTTGTTACCATTTCCATAAGCACCATATTTGCTATTTTAGTCATCCCTAATTTGCATAAAACAGTGATTAGAGTGTTATACACCGTCTGGTCAAGCTCAAGGCCCATAGCCACAAGCTTCTTGTGAATTTGCAAAATTACATCTGCTTTTCTACTCCTTGAATATGCTTTAAGCAGAAACTTGTGAATAATTGGCGTAGGTACATACCCCAAAACCAACATTTCATTCAAAACATCAATTGCTTTTTCAATTACACCAGTTTTACAAAGCCCTCCAATAAGAATGTTATAGGTGACCATATTTGGCATTACCCCATAGCTCTTCATCTCATTCAATAGATCCATAGCATTTTCTGTTTTACCTTGTATGAAGTATGTGTTAATTACAGAGTTATATGTAACACGATCTGGAGTCAGACCCATCTCTATCATTCTTGAAAACACAGATTTTGGTTCATATTTCCCCTGCCTCAAAAGCCCCTTAACCAAAGTATTGTAAGCAACAACATCAAACTGCATGTTTTTCTGTGTCATTTCCTGTACTTTGGAAAGAGCAGCTGATTCATTTCCTTCTTTAAAGTAGCCATCAATTAGGGAGGAGTAGTTAAAAACATCTGGGTAAATATTCTTAGAGCGAATATCATTAATTAATGACTCAGCTTCCTTCATGTTTCCAGATCTTTTCAAGTTGTTCAACAAGATATTGAATATGATATTGTTTTCGTCCAATCCACATGATTTCATTTCCTTATAGAAACCAGCAGCAGCCTCTTGTTGACCTGCCCTAAAATAGCCATCGATTAAAATAGCATAAACAAAAGCATTTGGCATAATATTCATTTGGACCATCATCCTTAACACATCAACTGCTTTATTGAGCATTCCTTTTTTGGCATATCCATTTATAATAGAAGAAAAGGTAATAACATTTGGAAGAATATGTTCCTTCTCCATTGTTTGCAACACCAACTCTGCAAATTCCATGTCTCCTAACTTACAATAACCATCAAGCAATGCTGAATACGTGACACAGTTTGGGACAAGATTGAGCTTTGAAATACTTTGGAACATTTCCTCAGCCTCTTTAGATTTTCCAGCTTTGAAAAGTCCATCCATCATAGTTGTACACAAAACTATATCAAAAGAAATGCCCCGAACAACCATTTGGCTTTGATGATTAAAAGCTTCCATTATCCTCCCTGATTTTAATAATGCATTAATAATTGTAGTGTATGAGACATGATTAGGATCTAAACCCATTTTGTACATCTCTCTCAGCAACAGTGCTGCTTCAGTTAATTTACCATGCCTGCAAAGTCCATATAGAATAGAACTACAAGTCACCACATCAGGAAGGACTCCACTCATAATCATTTGCTCATACAGAGAAAGGAATTCTCCAAATCCACGATGCTTACAGTATGCAGCAATTAACGTTGTCCATGTAACAACAGTCGGCTGCAAATCTCTTATCTCGTCCTGAGTTTCAATACCACCATCATTTAACAGACCAGATTCTTCATCATCCCTCTCCCTCTGAATGCCCAAAATCTCATTAAAAACAGACTCTGCCTTCGCAAGATCACCCCTCTTACAAAAAGCATTAACCAAAGTATTATAAGTAACAATATCAGGCTTGATACCCCTCTTCCGGCTATGCTCCACCAAAGCCAACGCACGACTCATCAAGCCCGCTTCACAATACCCATCAACCAAGGTGTTCAAACCTACAACGTCTAGTGGAACCCCCCCACCAACCAAGTTGTCCATAATCCACTCAGCATATTGAACCAATCCAACTTGGCAATACCCCTTAACCACTACATTACAAGTGACTGAATCAACACACACACCCTTCTTAACCATTTCAGACAACAACCCAAAACCCTGATCAACAAATCCATGTTTACAGAATCCCCAAACAACAGTATTATAAGTAACATGATCAAAAACAGTGTTGTTCCTAAGGTACCCTAAAGCCAAACCCAAGTCCCCCACTTTACACATCGAATGAACCAACAAATTAACACTGTAAACATTGGGCACAACCCCACAAAGCACCATCTCAGAATACAACATTTTTACCTGAGAAACCAAACCTGAGGCATTGAATTCGTACAAAAGGTCGTTCCACAGGGGCAAGGAGGGAACGAGAGCAAGGGCACGCATGCGAGAGAAAGCGTGAGAGGCAATGCAGAACCTGCCACAGGCCAAGTAGAGGCGAATGAGGGTGCAAAAGAAGGAAGCATAGAGATGGGTCTTCGTGGGGGGGATCAAAATCGAATCTTTGGGGAGTGAGGAGGAGAGTCTTCTGATGGGAATCAAAGGGTAGTAGTTGTTGCGATAGTGAGAACGGTGGAAGGTTCTGGGGGATGAGAAAACCAACATAAGGGTCTTGCTATGCAGCTTCTTAAGGTGCCTCATCTCAAATTCAAGACTAACACACAGCACAAAGAAGGAACTTTATGCATCCAATGACATGGTGATGCTGGGGTCTCAATTCAAGTTCAGCTGCAACGCCATGGCGTGGACTATGTATGGGGGAAGCGGAAGAGGAACAAGAAGAGATTGTTACCGCTATTTTTCTTCTTCTTCTTTTGGTGTGCTTTTAATCCTCAAATTTCCTATGCTCGGGGTTGGTAAATGTAAACCAAGGACACCTGGATTACCATTTACAGCCCTGTATTACTATTGAAACTCATAATTTTAAAATAATGTAAAAATCCTAAATTTTCTGAATTTAAAGACTAATGCTACTCAAGATCATCTTTAAAGGTAGCATGCATTACTTTTTCTTTTTTTTTTTACTTAAGTTATTGTAGATCATCTCATTTCTATAATAACATAACACATCTTTAATATATTTTTTTTCTTTCGTAACATATTATCAATAACTCCAATTTCAATGTCATATTTTTCTCCCCTTTCTTTATAGTCTTCTCTTCCGTGACCTTTCTCCCTTCCTTGCTCTCTTATACTCTTAGGTTACACATTTTTTTTTACTATTTTTTGGTTTTTTCTTCCTTTCTTTCATCCTAATGGATCACATTTTTTTTCTCGCGCTTCTCAATTCAATTCACCCATCAATACAATAATTTCACATTTTCACGAAATTGTTTTTTGATATTATTTACTAAGGTTGGTATGAAAATTCATGGTTCATGTGTTTTTAATTTTCAGTAAATAAAATAAAGTCATTGTTTGATTTTGTGTGGTAATTATAAGAAATTGTGAGCGTAGGTCATTGGATGAAGATAATTATTTGGTGTGATGTGTGCTTCAACTAATTTTGTTGTGTTGCAAAATAGTCCTTATAGAAAGGAAGGGGAGGTGAAGAAGAGACATTAAAGGGAAGGGAATAGAAAAGGAGGAGGCTGTAGAGGAGGGAGAGGCAGGGGGGAGGAAAAGCAACACATTAGAGAGAAGCGAAAAGGGAAGAGAAAAAATAAATCATATTATTAAATAAATTGGATGAATTCAACAATCAAAAAAGGTGGTGTACCATAGACCACTTATAAAGGTGATCTATGGTTACATTTGTGACTTTACTCCTTTTTTAACTTTATCCCATCTTCTTTTCTTTTCTCACATTATTGTCACATCCTCCCCTTCCTTCTTCCCATGCAATTAAATTTCCAAATCCTATATTACATTATTTTGTTTCAAGTGTCTGACTTTTAGTTATACCATCAACAATTATGTTAACCTTCTTTGCAAGTATAAATATATGAGCATTCTTTGACTATCAACTCCTGTTAACCAAACAGTAAATACATTTAGACATAATCTCATTCTTATAGCTTGCATTTTTAAGGGGATTTTAGACTCTCTCCAACTAGAAGATGTCATTTGTATGTCATTTAAGGATCATGGAGACATCCATGCGTTTGAAGAGATATCATACTCTTTTATTTTATTATTTTCTTCAACTTAATAGTGTGACACCCTTCTATCCTAAAATATTATTAAAAAGAGGTTTTAAAATAAACAACAAATAAATACATAAATAAATAAATAAATGTCTTAAAACATGTAGATATAAATCCATTGTAAAAGGGGTTCACAAGTTTGCCAAATGAAAAGTCTTTAAATAAAATATAAGTAATTTTCAGCAAAAATTCAAAAATAAGGCACAAACTACCCTTTATATCAAACTTCCAACATATAAATATATATAAAAAAAAATATGGTAGAATAAACTCTCTCTATGACTAATAAAAGCATAAAAACTTTTAATGCCCTAATGTCACACTATTAAAGCAAGAATCCAAAATAGTCATTGAAAAACATTAAGCTTCCACCCCTTCGTGCTCGGCCTCATATATCTCCTCTGCTCTTGCAATGCTAATCAACTCAAACAAAAAAAACAAACAACAAAAATTCAAAGGAGTGAGAATATATCTCATCCATCTAAAGCACATATGAAGTATAAGGATAGAACTAAACAAGACATATATTATAATTAAGCTTTATACATGCATTTATATTCATATCCAATATCTAAGGCAACACTTATCTCAATAACATCAATCACTCTACATTCATTCAATATTAACAACAATTATTCATGTAATCCAATCAATCTCTATTATAATATAAAGACTTGTACAAATGAATGTGTTGAACTCTACATGCATATGATACCAATATCTCTTTATCATCACCAACTCAATGTAGCTTTGGAGCCATAGAATAGAATCACCACACACTGGGTGACCCCCTCAATCCATTCACAGCCGACCATGATTACCTCACACCCCCATTAGAGACTCCCTACTATAACACCCCAAAAGTCTAGATAGATGACCATAAAGACTCCTCTTTATAGATTTGTACTATCTTACAAACAAAGTATAAACGCACAAACTCTACACACAACAATATCATACCAATAAATGCAATGTCCACTTGGTGATTTTTGTTAGACTATAGAGTCTAGACTTCTCCACAACATGTCAAGTCCTACTTGGATCTCATCATTACTAGTTGAAGCCTAGACTTACACATCTCATCAATAGCACTTCATGCATCATGTTGTCATCAACACCATCCCATACATATGTCATCACTATGCACCCTCATTATTCGTTTATCACATATTATAACATTCATCATTATCATAACATCATTATCAAGCATCATCACATATCATAATATTATACATAACCATTACTCAAACATTGTACACAACATTCTCAATTCAAACATCAACATTTCACTTCATGTCATACATAATCATCTCATATCATATATAAACACTTAAAGAATAAAACAACTCACAAATTATCTCTTCTTATCTTAAGCTTCTATGATATCGTATGGTTTAAATGCGATATATAGAATTTTACCTATGCTATCAAGTTGATTTTTTTTAAAGATAACATAATTATCAACAACTTTTATGTTAACATCAAGAGTTAATTTTACTATCTACTATTTTTAAAATTATAAAACCACAATACATAAGCCTAATTCTAACAACTTGACTTTTTCTTACTAATTTGATCATAACTTGAGTTTTAGACCTTTTTTTTGTTATTTTAGTGCTTTTAAAAAGTTAACATCTAAGGATATAACTCTTATGAATACCATAAAACTTAATTCAGTCATTTAGAGTCCTCACAAGACTTACTAGTTACAAACGTTACTTTTCACACATAGAACGTGAGGCTCATTTTATGACTCACATAACTCGATCATTTCTTAACATTTTTATGTGATTCTAGAATTTAAACTATAGTTGCAAATGTTTGCTTTCCAACCCAAGAAATGGAACTCTATTTGGTTAATCACACAAAGAGAAATCACCTAAATATTGTAGCATGTCCATACAATTTTTTTTAGAATTAAACAAATCATACCAAACTCCCAAATTGTACATCCAACCTTAACATCCAATACACAAAACAATTCAAGTCAATCATTACAATTCACAAATTTTCCAAAACAAGACAATAGACCAATTTCAAATCACACAAATATGCATCCATAATAATTCAATCAATATCCTAAGAGCTCTAGGGGTTGTCTCATTACCCACACCCCTCACACGTGCCTATGGATCAAACATCCTCACTCCTCCTTACCTTGAGTGATGATCCTATGGCATAAGCATGTTCTTCGTAGCCTTAACCGTTACTCCACACTTTCTTCGGTCGCTTCCTCTAGATTTTTCCTTTGTAGGTACTCATAATAAGGTTCAAAATAGATGCACAAGAATGACCTACTTCTTTAAATAAATAAATAAATAAAGCCTTCAAGTTGGACTAAAAAATCTAATCCAAAACTCCTATCTTCACCTACAAACCTTTTCTTTTTTATTTTAATTAATAAAAACATTTTAATTATATTACTAACCTAATTAACTAAATTAAGTAAAAAAATATAATTACTTTATTAAACATTTATTTTATTTTATTTACGAAAAAAAGATGTTACAAACAATGTTTATGCCTATCTAACCAAAATGGTCTTAAGCTAATTTTGTCATGTTTAGAGGATTCCTCAATCCCTTTGTAAGATTACAAGGTATATGTCATTTGCTGAAACAATTGATGACTAATATCAACATTAACATGACCACATCCTTTTTACTTCAGTTTGAGGTTTGCATGAGCTCGAGGATGCCTCATGGGCGTGCATTGACAATTATTTCACACTTTCTCTCATCCATACATAATGTTCCTAAAAAAGGACATCTTCCTAGAAGTCCTCTAAGAAGGTCTCACTCTCTAAGTATGCATGTGCAACACCTTACTAAAGGTTAGGTTAAGGATGACAAAAAAATTATACTTATGAGTATCTCTAAATAAAATTTTCTACAAATAATTAATAAATAACTTAAATGGATACTTACAAGTAATATGTAGGTTTGTATGTAGCTTCTTGTAAACAAAAGGAGGTCGAGTATTATAGTATTTATATCCTCAGGTACCCAGATATGTAATATTACTTTGTGTTAAGTTAAGTGAAAAATCCATATTGTGTATTACAATTTTTTTTATCTTTACTTGACCAAATTGTAATTTTTTCATTCAAATCCTTGAAACTTGAGGACCAATTGCAATACAAGTTACCCTAACAAATGTTGGTTGACCAAATTGTAATTTGGTATATTTTGAATGAATTATTGACTTTTTATTTGATAAAACAATAAATTTATTTTGCCAAGTGATAAAATAAATTCAAATGAAAAAAATACTATCAAAAGAATTAAGATAAACATAAATCTAAAATTGTTTCAATAAAATTAACATCAAATATAAGCCCAAAATTGTTTTTAAAATCAACATAATTAGTGCGGAGAAAAGATAAATACTAGAAGAGATTTGAATAATGTATATCAAAAACTCGCACTTTTACATGGTGAAGTAGCGATGCTAGATAGATGGAGTGCAAAGAGATGTCAGACAAAACACTGAGTATTTTTATATTGATTTGTCTCAACCACCGAGACTACGTTTAGTTATCAATCTAATTAGATTGAGTTCCACTATCTTTCAACAAACATATAAGTATTCTTTCAACAAGACACTTCTAGATCAACCTTAATTATTCTTTGACTTGCTTCTTCAAGCAACTACTCAAGTATTGTTTTAACAACAAACCTCTCC